AATAGCGGAATAACAGAACAAAAGAACAAAAGAACAATAGAGCTGGAAGGGGCCTTGGAGGTCTTCTAGTCCAACCTCCAGCTCAAGCAGCAGACCCTATCCCATTCCAGACCAATGGGTTCTCCAGTCTCTTCTTCCAAACCTCTAGTGATGGAGCACCCACAACGTCTGGAGACATTTTTGATCTTTAGAGAACCTTCCCTCTCTAGTTTTTCAGGACGCCAAGAGAGAGACCCACCTGGTCTTTATTTTATAACCTATCTTGTCAAATCGTCAAAAAACCACACATCGTACATTTGTCCTTAAAAGGACAGAACGGCAGAGTCGGAAGGGACCTGCCGACTGTCAGCCCGTTGGAGGGTGCCAGCTGTAAAAAAAAAAAAAGAGATTTCTTTATCTTTTGCTCTTGCAGGCGCAGACGTGCGATACGTCCACATGAAGGAACTGACCGGCGGGATTGTGCACACCAAATTATGGGTGGTGGATCGGCAACACGTCTACATTGGCAGTGCCAACATGGATTGGCGTTCCCTAACTCAGGTATCTCCCCCGGGGCAGCTGGGAAAAAGAGGCAGAGGTGGTCCTTGAGTCACGTCCATTCGTTTAGTGACCGTTCAAAGCTACAAGGGCAGTGAAAAAAGGGACTTTATGACCGTTTTTCACGCTTGCGACCGTCGCGGCCTCCCCCTGGTCACGTGATCAAAATTCAGAGGCTCGGCAACTGACTCGTATTTATGACAGTTGCAGCGTCCTAGGGTCACGTGATCCCCACAGAAAGTTTGGGCTAGGTTGTGGGTCGTTAAGCCGAGGACTACCTGTAGCATCTCTTGCCTAAGGTGAGTCGGTGGGGAGACAGGTCTCTTCGCTGACAAAGGGGAACCGTGTCCTTGTCTGGGATCTGCAGGATCTGTAATCCCCCGCTAGGAATCGACTCTTACGGCTGTGGTTTATTTGGGAGATCACAGCCTCTGAAGAAGTAGAGGTGGGAGATTACCTGCAAGATGCTAACGGATCCTTTTTTTTTCTCCTTAGGTGAAGGAGCTGGGAATTGCCCTCTACAACTGTAGCTGCCTGGCAAAGGATCTCCACCGGATCTTTGCCATGTACCGGATCTTGGGCAAGGAGGGGGCCTCCATGCCCACCTCCTGGCCCAGGGACCTGGCAGCTGAATCCAGCCTGCAGGAACCTCAGAAAGTTCAACTGAACGGGGTAGAGGCCCAGGTCTACATTTCTGTAAGTGTGTTTTTGTGGTGGTGGTGGAGGAAAAAAAAAACACAACGGTTTAAGATCCTGCAACTGGCTGGACTTCATTGCTAGATCTCCTCGGCCTGCCCAGTCAGGGAGGGATTTACTATTTGGAGCCAGGGGAAACAGCAGGTGGAAATGAGGGGGCTGGGTTTTACACTTTGCCATGTTGTCACTTTTCGGATGCAGAGCTCCCCGCCGGCCCTGTGCTCTACCGGTCGAACTTCGGACCTCACCGCCATTCTGAGCATCATTGAAGACGCCCGAGAATTCATCTATATTTCTGTGATGGATTATGAGCCCCAGTGTTTATACTGTAAATCGAAAAGGTGATAGAATTGCCTTCCCTGCCTCCCATCTTCCTTCCTTCCTTCCTTCCT